TTATTAAATTATTTTATTCTAAAAATACATTATAATCAATTAAAAGTAAAAATAGATCTCATTAATTTAGAATTTTAAGATCCATGAAAATTAATTATATATTCTAATCATAATTTAAAGTTAAGAACCTAATGGAATAATAAATTATATTTAATAAATTCATAGAAACTTTCTATTTATAAATCAATTGATATTCAAAGAATAAATAACCAATAGTTCTTAAATTATTTTGCTTGCACTTAATACCCCTCTTATTAGATAAAATTCATTCGATTTCCTCTCATCAAAATCCACATATCTTTAAAGATGAATCCCCTTAATTAAGAATTTAAGGAAATCTTAAAAAATTGTAATGGAATGTGAACATATTTAATTTTATGAAAAAAATTTTCACAATCATTACTCCTTTACAATTTTTATTAGTATTATTTAATATTAATTGAAACTTAATAATACTGATTTAGAATTCTAATATTAACAAGGAATTGACTTTACATTTAATAAACCTACATATATTAAGATTCAAAAATAATCAGAATAAAGGTCTCACATTTATTTGAAATAATGAATTTTTTTTGCTTAAATTAAAAGTAGATAGAATTAATTAGAACTGCTCATATAGAATTATTATAATTGATTTAAATTGGATTAGTTTAATTATTAATATTAGATATTGGTTAAAATATAGAAAATATTTTTTCATTTTTTTTCTCTGCTCTATAGTTTAGCGATTTTTCTTTTCATAATTCCTAAAGAATTTGGTTTTTTATGCCCTTATAGAATATAAAATATGATTTACTTTATTGTGTTTTAGATTAGGGTGTTTGTACATTTTAGCATTAATTGGTATATTTTGATTCATCTTCCATATTAATTGGATTTGGAAAGTGAATTTCAAGTTGTTATCTTGTTTTTTCAGAATAGTTTCTAAATATGATTTTATTTAATACTCTGCTTTCTAAATTATATCTTGAATGGTAGGACTATTGTATGTTTTTTATCCACTAAATTATCCAGTTGTTTCATCAACCAAAAATATTTTATCTATAATTGATTGTAGGACTTTTTAATTAAATTTTGAATCAAGATTTGTTTATTCCAATTTTTATTGATGTACTTGAATATTCTAATTTAAACTATTGTTTTTATATATTTTTAAATAGCTTTGAAACTCTTCTTTTAACTCTGGTGAAAGTTGCTCTAATAATTACTTTGCAAATTATCTTTCTTGTTGTAATACTTAATTTAATTAAGGATCAGATTAATATTATGATGATTAATCATATTGTATGCAATTTGATAAATTTGACTACAGCACAATTTTATTTCTAGCAAGAATTTTCATAGGATGTTGAGGATCATTTATAAAGTGTTAATTCACTGCTTTTAACGAGTATATTAAATTAATGAAATATTATAGATTCTCATATAAGTAATAACGAATGAGTTACTCTTCTTTTTATTATTTTTGACTAAGTTTTTAAATCTAAACTTATTGCTATTATTCATATTCTAAATTATGTTTTCTTTTATGCATTATTTAATATAATGATAATCAAGTTAATAGTTTTACTCTAAAATTGAGATTAATATAATAAAAATAATATTCTATTTAAAAAAATAAATAATATTCTATTAAAAAAATATTTTAGATAAACATTTAATTTATTGTTAAATTAATAATTTTTCTTAAGATATATCCTTTTAATTATTTTAATTATTCATTTGTTTGTTTAAATTAAAAAATCAAATACAATAATCAAAGATAGAAACGAATTAAGACTTTTTTTCTGTNTTTCCAATCATTTGCTCAAATAATCTTAGATTTTTTCATAAAGAATTTATGAGATTACTTCTAAAAATATAAGATAATTTAGTGGATTTATTGTCATTTTAAAACCAAAAGATATTTTTATTTAAATGAATTTATGATTACTATAAATATTTGCACAAAAGATTAGCGTATGTTTAAATAATACTTATTCCTGTTTAAAAAATTCTTTAATTAATATATATTCTTTTTAATTTATGAGTTATTATTAAAACTAATTTCAGTATTTAAGATTTTCTAGATAATTAGTTAGATAATTTATATAAAAACCTTTAGAGCTTATATTTTTCATCTAATAATTGATAATCAATATTAGAATAATTATATTGAGGTATATAAATCTGAGTAATAGAATTACTCAAATAGAATAAGAAGATTAATTTGAAAAGTAAACTTGCAACTATGACTCAAAAGAGTTATAATGTGAGATCGATTATTTCTATCAATGGAAATACAAATTATTAACTTTATATTACTACATCTAAACCTATGATCATAAATTATTTTTATTTTTAATGGTAATTGAATGATAAATTCATAATCCATTAATTTATTTTACTAGCAAAAGATTATGTGTAATAATTTTAAATTATTTTTTAAATAAAATATAACTGTAAGTTGATTTATTTAGTTCACTTATATTGAAAATTATTTAAATTTTAGTTCCAGAATAACTCTGAGAGTATTATTATTATTTAGGAATAATGGAGATCATGATGCAAAATAAATTATCTTGAATTTCCCCTATTAATATTAATAAATAGTCTTAAATTAATAAATATGTTAAAATTCTAATAAAAACACAAAAAAATACTGTTAAATATAATTAATAAATAAGGTTGTCGTCTACTTGCCATTCTTTTATATATTCATAAGATAGCAAATATACAATATTGATTATATTGACAAATTTGAACCTTTAAATTAGGTAAATGTCTAATTAGATATATTATAATTTCAAAAAAATTAATTCTCATTCTCAATTCTTATTATATATTTACAGTAAAAGAAATATTCTAAAAGAACTTTTTGGCTTATATCCATCTATTAAATCAATAAATCAAATTTCAGAATTGATATAATCACCAATCAACCTTATTTGCAAGTAATTTAAATTTATAGCCCAAAAATAAATAAATATATTGTGAAGGCTGGCTTGTAAATTCCTTAATAATCATTGTTTTGTATAATTTAACTAATAAATAAATTTGTATCAAATATGTAACAATCTATTCAAACAATAAAATATAGCATATTTTTTTTAATTAAAAATGCGATCAGTTATATTTATGAGAATAATTCAGTTTTTCCCTAATTTGTTTTAGTTTTAAGATATTTCCCTAAATTGTAAAAATTATTATATGATTATTTTTGCCTATTTATTTATTTAAAGGAATTCTTTATTTTTATTTAGAATCACTGAACAAACTTCAAAATAATAAACAATCGCTTATTTGATTAATAATGAATCCTAACGTAAAATAAAAGATTTTATCTGAAAAATAATGAATAAATATCTCATTGATTACTAAGCTGAATGAATAATTTTTGTCTCAAAAACATTTAATATTTTTCTCATTAAATTTTATTAGGTTGGTTTTTCAATGGGGAAAATAGTTTCAAAAATATGATAATATAAGACAAAAATTTCTCTCAATTTTAAGCAATATTTAATGTAGTGCCATTTAACAATTAATAATAAAAAGAAAGAATGATATTTATTACATCTTAATTAATTTCCATTATTTATTTTCTTATATTTTTTTAAGATGCAAAATGAATTGATATGTCAAAAACATCCACATAATTAAATAACTCTGATTTGTACAGAAGATGATGAGTTTCATAGTTGTTAAAGGAGACTATGTTCGGACTGTATACATTTACATGGTGGAGATGCTAGTAAATTAATTCCAATTTAACAATTTAATGATCATATTAAATTGAAATAAGAAAAACTTGAACATTATTTCTTGGTTAGTAAAAGGAACTTTTTTAAATAATATGATGATATTGAAAAGAAATTAAAGGATTATTTGGAAAATACTAGAAATTCCGCAGAAGCAATATTTAATGAATTAATACTAGAAAACCTTCATTTTAAAGAGCTGATTAGTTCTTGCAGAACATCAGATCTCAATGAGATTTTTTAAGGAAAAAAATTTGATACTTGGAAGTCTTTGATAAATTCTATTGTTGATAAATTGAGCACAACTAATTTATTAATAGGGGATAATCTACAATAACTCATTTCAAAGCATAATGATGAAGTTTCCTAAATTTTTTGGCAAGAAAAAGTTTAAATATACGATGGTTTTCAAATGAAAAAGAATAAAAAAATAAAAACAAAATTTTTGGTAAAATTTAATAGAAATCATGAAATAATTTATATACATGATGGAGAAATTCTAAAAAAGTAATATTTGTTATCATTTAGATTAAAATTTTATAATTTAACATATCAGCCAGAAATAGTGAGTAATTTAGAAATAATTTAGCATTTCAATTATTTTTCTGGTGGTGTGAGAAACAACTACAATATTGGAAAGTAATATGTTTATTGGAAAGGATAAGTTTAAGAAGGTGTTTTTGGGGAGTATTCGATGGAAGGAAAAAAAGTAGGACTTTGGAAAATACCAATTTAGAATTTTTGGGAGTAATAAAATAAAATAATAAAAATTAGTGAAGCTTTAATTTTTATGGTAGGAGAATATGTAAATGATTAAAGAAATGGATAATGGGATTATATATTCGAAGAATAAGACAATAATAATGTTTTAAAAATAAAATCCAGAAGAAATGGAGGATGGTACAATCAATAAGGATTAAAAGACGGAAATTGGTTAGAATTAAGCGAAATTTCAGATAAGTATTTATTATTTTGAATTTTAAATCAGCCATGATATCATTTTTTATGAAGGAAATTATTAAAATGGCAAAAAATTTGGGGGTTGGAAAATGAGTTAAGATAATGACTATAAAGGATCTTTTAATAATTAAGGATAAAAAATAGGAAAATGGTATGAGATGAATGATTTCTCTTTTTTGTATAATCTATAAATATCATGCATTTAGGGATATCAAAATAAGTTGTTCTGGAAATTATGAAAATGGAGTTAAAATTGGTAAATGGTAAAGCTTTTATTGTAATGAAATCATGTAATAAAAACAAATAATATAAGTGGGGAAGGAGAATATACAAATGATGGTTTGAAGTAAGGTGAATGGAAAGATTTCTGGGAAGGTTTTTCTCGGTAATTAAAATCAATATTCTTAAAAGAGAATGTTAAGTAGTAATGTAAGGCTAATATGAAAACAATAAAAAAATAAACGAATGGACAATTTTTTATAAAAGGAATCCTGACTAAAAATTTGAGAAAATGTAAAATTAATATTTTAATTATTTTTTTAGTGGTGGAGGTATTTACGATTAGAATGGAATGAAAACTGGTGAATGGATAGATTTAAGTGATAATTTTAATTGGTAGTTATTAATATTTATAATTTCTTTAGTTTTGGTGAAGTTTTTCATTTGGGAAAATATAAAAATAATAAGAAAATTGGAAGATGGATAACTAGATTAGACAGTTTATCTTTAAAAGAAATGTAAATGTAGAATAATAGTAAAAAGTGGCGGAGGACAGTATAATTAAGACGGAGTAAAGGATGGGGAATGGACTGAAGTAAGTGATGACTACTCTCAGTATTAAATAATATATTTCTTCGTTAGGTTTAATTAAGTAACTTTTAAAGGAGTGTATAAAATAGGTTAAAAAAATGGTTTATGGAAGAGTTTTCTGGAAGAGAAAGAAATGTAATTATTATTATTTAATTGATTATTAATATTTATTAGAGGTTGTGGTTCATATAATCAAAACGGTTTAAAAAATGGCTATTGGATAAATTTATGTAACTAATTTTATATGTAACTGTTTTTTATAATAATGTGGTGATTATCAAAATGGTATCAAGAATGGTAAATGGAACATAATGTATAAGACAAAGAATTAAAATGAGTTTGAATCGATGTATTTGACTTGATTTCTAAAAATTAATTTTAGAGGTGGAGGAGATTATTAAAATGGATAAAAAGAAGGGGATTGGACAGATGTGGATTCTGATTTTCGTTGGTAATTATTGATCAAATACTAAAATAGCACTTACTAAGTTACTCATACTGAAAAATATTCAAATGGTAGAAAAAATGGCCAATTTTAAAAGAAAGAAAGAAAACCCAATAAGATGGATTAAAGATTTATTTTATGTATATTAGTTTCTTAACTTTAGGTGACTGAAGCACTTATAATTGAATTTGAAACCTATCTTGATTAAGTTCTAAATTATCTATTTTTATTTAAGAAATATTCTTGTCGTTTGTTAATTCCCAAAAGTAGAAAAACTTTCACTTATGATAAAAATGGAAATAATGAAATTCATAAAATCAGCTTAAACTTTCTTGTTCTTCAACAAATCTATTATTTCTTAAAGAAAAGCATAGATAATCCCTATTTTTAACACCATCACTATGGTAACCATATCTAAATTAATAAGTTTTTATTAATTATCATTTATCTACATTTTAATTATCTATTTCCCCTATTATTATTTTATAACATCGCTACAATAGATGATTTGAGATTCTTAATCATTTCAATATATATAATTTAGTCAATCTTTATGCTAAAATAATGTTTAGTCTAAAGAAATTGAATTTAAACCATTTTCATCTCCCAAATTCTAATTGATCCATAAAAATGAGTTGTGAAAAGTTAATCTTTGTTTTATTAATATTAATGATAAAAATTTAGATACTCATTAAAATTCATTTAATATCATTTTAAAATATCTCCTGGTATGAAACAGTTAGAGAATTTATTATATAATATACAAAATAGATCTTTCTAATGCTCTTTATATTCAATTTAAAAAATTCCAAACATAAGTATACTTATTAATTGTACTAATCTTAATAGAGTCTTAATTTTAATCAATAGCTAAGCTTTTCGAAGTTAATACAAAAAATTCTCTGCATATATTACTTTATTTTTCTCTGTTATTTAATGATCTACAGAATTGAATATATTTTATATTTATTTATTGCTTTCCAATTTCTATTAGGATTTAATAATTATTGAAAAAATAAAGATTAGAAGTATGAATTTATAACTTTTTTTTTCATACTCAAAATTTCACTTCAATTATTTAACTTAATATATGAATTTAAAACATCCAATAATCACTTTAAACCGACATATATCAAATATGCTAAAAGATATCAATAACGAAAATGAAAATTAATTATTTAAGAAATTTACAAATTTGTTTTTCTTAATATATTAATTGACGTATTATTTTGATCTTTAATATTAATTACCTAAAATTTTTTTAAGGATTACATTTTTTATTAAAAAAGAAGTAAGAAAAAATAAAATTAAAGAGATTTTAATTAAGTGTAACTTAATAAAATTATATCTAATGTCATAATTATTTTTTCTTTATTAATTTGGAAAATTGATAACGATTTCTAATTAAAATAAATGGAAATTTAATTTCGATCAAGTCTTGAATTAATTCTCAGACTTTATGAAGAATAAATTATCAATATGGAGGAGAAAATATACTTAAAAGATTACT